AAAGTTAAGCTTGGGCGTGCAAACAACCAATTTGAGCTTGGGCACGCACCGAATCGTCAATGTCGGGGTTGGGCATGCACTCAAACAACCAGTTTGAGCTTGGGCACGCCCTTAATTAGCAAGCTCAGGCTTGGGCACGTGCTCAAATAGCCAGTTCGGGCATGTGCGTGCACCAAATCGTCAATGTTGGGCTTGGGCGCGCACTAAAACAGTCAGTTTGAGCCTGGGTGCACCCTCAATCAGCAAGCTCAAGCTTGGGCGGGCGCTCAAACAACCAGTTTGAGCTAGGGTGCGCACTCAATTGTCAATGTCTGGCTTGGGCCCGAACTCAAACGGCTAGTTTGAGCCTGGGCGGGCACTCACTCAGCAGTTCCCAGCATGGGCGCGCACGAGAACATCAATGTCGGGTTTGGGCGCGTACGGTATCCAAATGGTAATAAGGTGCGCGAGAGCGCTCAGGTCATGATCAACAATGTCATACAAACAATAAAGTGCACAAGGGCACACTGGTCACGAACTGAAGTGTTACACATATATCAATGAAACGCATAAGGGCGCACTAGTCACGAACGGTAGTGTCGCACAGATGTCAGGGCGCACAAAGGCGCATTAGTCACGAACCGTAGTGTCGCACTGATGTCAGGGTGCACTGGTCAAGAATTGCAATGTTGCACAAATGGCAGTGAAACGCATAAGGGAACATTGGTCACTAACAACAAATGCCACACAATGCGTGAGGGCTAACTGTGTAGATTCGCCAAGTGGCTTATCAACACCGTATCGAGCTGCATTAGCCTGCCAAGTACCAGATCAGAACCATGATAGGTTTGCTCCAGCCTGCCAATTAGCAGATCGGGACCATGCCAGGTTGCGCCAGCCTGCAAAATAGCAGATCAGAACCATACCAGAATGCATCAGCCTTCCAAGTGGCAAATCAACACCATGTCGGGTTGCACCAGACTGCTAAGTGGTAGATCAGTACAGCGCCACCCTGCCAAGTAGCAGATCATAACCTTATCAGGCTATGAGAGTTGGTCAAGCAGCGTCATGTCTGAACAACACGAGGGCACATACAGATGCTGATCTGGAGTGCGTACGTGCACGCAGGTACCAAAAGTGTGGTTGCTCCCATCGTGCTCGTGGACACCAATGCTGATCAAGGAGCACGCAGTCACCAGTGCCAATCAAGGAGCGTGCGGGCGTGTGGATTCCAGCACGCGGAGAGTACAATTGCCAACACCGGTCAAAATTGTACAACTCTGAATCCAACAAGCCCAGATCTTGCTTGCGAGGGTGTTTTCAAAGCCATCGCTCATATTCACTCCAATCAGGCATGTGTGTTTCATTTTTTCAAGTGGGTGCGTTTCCTACACGTGCAACAATGTGCAGATCCGGATTAAGAGTGTCATGGGCTCGAGACTGCTGCACATGCCCAATCCGACAGGATCACAGACTCAAGGATCAGCGCGCGGCGACAGGTACGCAGTCTTGGAATAAGTGCGCACACTCGACCCAACGACGGAAGATTGTTCCTGAGGGAGTGGGGTCTCAGCAAACCGGAGGGCGTATGGGCCTGCTTCTTTATGGAGTCATTAAAAAAAAAAAGGCAAAAAATCTCAGTTTTAAAAAACTGTTCTGAGGGTCTGGAAGGACATGCCGCTAGAAACACCAACCCCCCCTCGCACGAAGGAGGAAGTCTTAGCCCAACAATTATTTGAAAATCCTTGTATTCCTGTATAGGATAGCCCGACCTTCCCTGCAGACGGCTCTATGACGTCCTTTGACATAACCTATATGAAAAAGGGGGTCACTCGCATCCAAAACCTTTGGCCTTCCCTACTAAGCACCTGGGAACATTTGTCGGTCGTCAAGTCTCATCTGTCAGGACTGAGAAGAGTAGAAAAAAACTGGCAGGTCATCCGGGGGGCTATCCCCTAAGATTGGCTCAAAATCCTAAGCCCGTAGGGGATGGACCCAGTTGGTACCTAGTATGTAGCAAACGACGAGGCGGAGGAGGAGGCGGTATGAAAAATAAAGGAAATAACCTCAAGTGGCTTCAAAATGATGGAGGAGTGAAAGTGTGAGGGGCACACGAATGAGCTAACAAAGTGGAGTGATCAGACGATACAACAATGAACAAGTCCACCATAGGCCAGGATAGTGAAATCTCTGCAATCCGACAACCAGCCTGCAACCACTTGGATTTGTCACACTACATTACACCAGCTACGGATAGACCCACTTGCATGGAGTTGGAACAAACCAGTGTCAATTGGATCAGAGAAGGCGCTAGTTAACCTCTTAGAGTACAACACGAGGGTAGGATACGAGATGGCCAACAAAACATCCAAGAAACCGTCCAGAGTGGCAGTGGCCAAATGGACAGCGGTGCTGGGCGACAACATACCAGTCAAAGAGCATCAATTTGAGTTGTTGTGGAAGACACTTTGCAAACTACCGAACGGAAAACATGTAAGTATTATGTGGTTACTCTCCACGATGGTTACCTCTTCCGCTGTCTGGTTGCTAGGAAGAGGAGTGGTGGTGGAACTGGGTTGTTCCAGATGTCGCTGACCTCTTGAGTCCACGAGGCACCTGTGGTGGGAATGTCCAACTTCAAAACGAGTTTGGCTATGGTGGGACCACCACTGGACGGAGTTGGGTGCCGGGAAGCTAAATTGGGACGAGTACTAGGTGTTGTTGGGTTTTCTGCCAACTGGTATGCAAGGAAGGAAAGGGTGGGGCTACATCGCACACGTACTACGAGGCATACTCTGCAAAGTGATGTAGGATGACAGAAACAGGGCAAGGTCTGACAAACGTGCTATGTTAGACATGAAGATAAAAATGTGGCTCAAGCATGCAATTAAAATAAATTGGAGGAGAAAGACAAGAGCGTGGAGGGGTAGCAGGAAGCAAAGGTCCTGGTTCATGCATACCTGGGCTTTGAGTTACAGTCCACTCAAACCGGGGCCTGGTGATTTTCAATTGGGTGTTAGATCTAGGCAAAACTCAGTAGAACAAATTAGCTATGTATAGGTAAAGTTATAAACCAGGACACTCGGTTAAGCAGGGCCGTCATGGGCCGTTAGGGGAGTGTTAGTAGGGCCCAGACTTTGTCCTCTGCACCGTGCTAGTCGCAGATTTATGATAGAACGGTTAGCCTCAATTACAGACAGTGACCCGGTTCTACCCAGCTGCTCAGAGTCTTATTTCACAAGGTAAAACTATCTCAATTATTTCGAAGTCAGGTCATTTATTACACCTTTTCAAGTTTAAGACAAGTACCAGGACTGCACCGCCACGTCAGATTAAGAATTAGACATACTGGGGAACTTGATAGCTGAGAGTTCCGAAGGCAATGGCCTGTAAGCTAAGCTGTCTGATGCTGTCAGTGATCCGGGTTGAATTATGAGGTCCCCGCCCTCTTTTCTAAGTTTACCGAGCCTGTTTTTGCCGACCCTGAATTTCACTGCGCTCCGAGTTTGCCGAACCTGGGTACCACTCCGTTTTTTTCTGGTACTCTCACGGAAAGAAAAAAATAAATAAATAAAAAATTGTGGTCGTGAATTCATAAAAAAAGAAACAAACAAACAAACAAAGCTTTGACCGTGATTGCAGCTGTATACATTGTTGGAAGTGGTAGTGTGAGTGTGCCCTCAGTGAGGGCATCTCAACCCCGTGGCTAGGTTGTCAGTTTCAAAAAAAAGAATAAAAGGGGAAAAAAACGGGCACACGGATCCGCCCATGAAAATGACTGGATACATTCCCCTTAGTACCAGTGTGATGAGTGTTACAATCCTCGGACAAAACACAACTTGAGCAAATCACGGATGGCTTGAGCAATTTACGGATTCCCCCGTGCCTCATTGGCAGAGGGGACTTACAAGAAACACACGAGCAAGAAAAAAAAAGAAAACAATAACATCCAGAATGTGATCGCCTTACCGGTGAGGTGCATTCTGTGGAGGAAGACTCCGAGCACGGCCTCCAAGGCTACCCTGCCTGACATCATTGCAATAGAGATAATATTTTTTTTTTTCCCTTTTTCTTTCACTCGCGGGCAATATAAAAATCTGATTTATGGGACAATGCCGACCCTGTGTCCCACCCCCGATAACTTCGGGAACTGGCAAAACATCGTAATTTCCCAACACTGGCGGAGGTATTAGTGGTTAAAAAAGAAAAACTCGTTGTACAATGTACATTGTATTCGTACGTATGTTTTTTAATTACGTTCCAGGTTCAAGGGCGCGTGTAGGGCTGCCCTTGAAATTTTTCTCAATTCGAGGGTAGCGGAACGAGGCCCATTATTGTCTAGGCTGGTTGCGGTGCCCCGCTGTTCCCTGGCCCTCGCCCCCGGATGTCCCGGGCGGCCCAGCCGGTCGGGTCCCTCGGCTGGCTTAGGGTAGTGGAACGAGGCCCATTGTTGTGTAGGCTGGTTGCGGTGCCCCGCTGTTCCCTGGTCCTCGCCCCCGGATGTCCCGGGCGGCCCAGCCGGTCGGGTCCCTCGGCTGGCTACCGGGCTGCCCAAGCGCAATTCGAAGCGGGGGATCGGGAGTGCCGGAATGTGTTCAGCCGTCCTCCCGAGGTGCCCCGCAACCCGCACCTGCGGGTGAAAAAATAGAAGCCTGACAGAGGGTCTCGCCGCACGGCACACGAAACGAAAACGAAACGAGCGCATCTGCCCACCCGTGGTGGCAAAATACACTCGTTACTATTTATAGCAAACCGATGAACCTGGCCATTTTTTGCTTGAAGATGCACTCGTTTCGTTTTTCGTTTCGTGTCCCGTGCGGCGACGCCCAGAGCCCGTGCATCTCTTCGCGCTGTGCTGCTTGGCGCGAATGCCAGCCCTACCTCCGTTCGAATTCGAACGCCGATGGGGGAATTCGATCGCCGATAGAGGAATTTGAACGCCGGTCGGGGTTGGGTTTTGTGGAAAGGAGCTATCTTGTCGCGGGGTCGCCGCTGCCGCCCAAGGAGCACGTCCGGTCCGCTCCGGGATTGCCGCCGCTGCCGTCGCCACCGCTGCCTCCTGGGAGCACCTCTTCGGCTGCCATCTCTAGACCACGCCGGATATCGAAGGTACGTGTGGAAGAGAGAGAGAGAGAGAGAGAGAGAGAGAGAGAGAGAGAGAGAGAAGGCTCTCCTCCACATCGAGTCACTGCCCAAAGCGACCCTCCTCGCCCCTCCTCCTTCGTGAAACTTTCCCCTGCCGCCGCTATCGTGGAACTCTAGCCCCCGCCATCGCCAACCTCTTCAGTCGCGCCCTCTTCCCCATCGTGGCCATCCCCCCCATAGCGACCGTCCTCCCCACCTTTGCGAAACTCGCCTTTCCACCCACCTTTCGAAAATCACGACCCTCCTCCCCGTCTTTGTGAAGCTTCTCTCCATCGCGACCCTCCTCTCTATCGTGAAACTTCCCCCCCCTCTCCCCCCGGCTAATGGAGAGGAGAAGATGAACGGGGGATGGGAAAGGGTAGAAGACGACGGACGAGAAGAGAAGGACGAGGGACTTGATGGGGAAAGGAGCACAAGAAGGCGATCGAGGTGTTTTTTTGACAGCCTACTGCAGCTTACTCCTTCAGTTCTGACCTCACATACGTGTTATCTGTCTATTTCGTTCGCCGGGTACAGTTGTGCGGAGTACGTGTTATCTGTCTATTTCGTTCGCCGGGTACAGTTGTGCGGAGCCAGTCCTGTGCCTCGTTCCAGGAAGAGGGGGTTCGCATGTGAATTCCAGCGTCGGATGCTTTTCTTTTTTTTCATTTTTCATTTTTCTCTGAGATAGCGAGGGAATCACGATCGTTGTCACGATGATCGTTTATGTGTCTGAGTAAGACGGGAAGAGGGGGGCCAGTGCGGCAGGCGGAGAACGAGGGAAAAGGAGTTATCGGCGAGGGAAGAGGAAGACGGTTACGAGAGTAGTGAGGACTTCCTTCTCGTGGTACAGCGTCTTTTTTTCTGTCCGCTTTTTGGTATTTTTCGAGGAAAGGCTTGGCTAATCGAGCACAATCAATATTAAATGTCCAGATGGTATCAATCTTTCTATCTATTCTTAGAAACTGGCGGGGGGAGCATCATGGATGAATTTGTGCAGAGGATAATCCGTGTACCAGTGTTGATGACCCCTACACAAGATTGGTTATACTCCACTTTTGCGAGGTGATTAATCGACTGGTAGGTACAGACAGTGTTCGTGTGGTGATTGTTTCGGGCTGCTGATGTTATCGATAGCTCTCAGTCAGTCACCTTAATTAATTAGATCCGATCGATTATCTTCTATCTGCCTCTTTTCCGTCCGGTCCTGCGCGAAGCACAAACAAACTGGGGCAGCCGCGCCCGGCGGAGCGTCGACGGGTGACTGATCGTTTTCTTTTCTCGATCTGCTGGATTGCGCTTTTGCTGAGAGATGGCTTGCACTGTGTCGAGTGGAATCACTCTGAAAAGTACCGGAGAAGACGAAGTTAGGGCTTAGTATGAGCATATGGGGTTGGGCAAAGACGTGAAGGATGATATTGATGATAGGGTGGAGAAAGTGGGAGAGAGAGAGGCGTCTGTGGGTTCGAATTGGTGATGTGGATGATAAGGCTATGTATGTGACGATATATATCCCGATATATATATCCCGGTACCCTGTTGATGAGTTGCCGAAAAGCCGACGAAAGGGCGGTCACGCAACCCCCTTTTTTTCGCCTCGTGGAACAACAAGAACGGCAGTCTGCTCTGAGTTTATTCAGGGATCGTCCTCGAGGGTTGTAGATGTTGCCCACTCTCTACTGGAATGTGGGAAAACGCTGTTGATGTGTTCCTTTCGTTTCTTCTGTTCTTGGGCGCCGCTAGTGCTTGACTTGCCCTCCCTATTAGAATGGTCTTCCTTCTGGAGACAGCCGAATGCACGGGCGGTGCCACCTGAGGCGAGTCGAAGGTAGCTTCTGGCCTTTCATCCACAGTTTATAGGGCGAAGGAGAAGAGGGCATCTGGGCTCGGCACGTCCAAGTGCGAGATGACGCACGTGTGCATCTGCCCAAACTATTTGCGCAGTTCTGTTTGTTCTCTTCTGCCTTATCTATACTGGGTGACGTCATTTTGTTCGACTCTTTGTTAGAACCCATACCAGTGCTGCTGCGAGGTGTATGCGACTCCTTGTGTGGCTCCAGATTTAGCGAAGAGAATTCTACCGGTGTGGCTATTCTCTAGGTAGTGAGAGAAGTTTTGGTCGTGGGAAGAAGTTGCTCTCCAACCATTTGACTGTTTCACTGCGTCCCACCAAAGTCGTTAAGGAATTTCGTACCCCACGAATTATCATGTTTGCAGCAGACCCCAACTGCGAGCAGCAAAGATAACTCGTTCGCCCCCCGCATCTGCGTGTGTGTTCTGTGTGCCTGATGTGGGTAGCACCACACTACTGCTCTGAGAAGCCGCGCATACACCCACCCGGGGCGAACTCGGGGCAACTTCTCAGCAGCCAGCCTAAACGACCACCCTTACCTTTCGACCGGTCTGGTTAATTAGTGGTCTAGTGGTCTATCCGCGCGATCGCGTTCTTTGTGTATGCGTGTGTGGGTGCACGGCACTGTATAGTTTTCTTCTCCTCTGTGCGGTATGCCGCAGGTTGCGGTCGCTATCTGTAGTACGTATTATCAGGAGATGCCTTAAATCGGATGTCGTGCTTCTTTTGCTTCTTTCCCTCCGTGATTAAAATGAAAGGTTAGATAGATCTGGTACTCCATTCACTCGAAGGATGAGGAGGCGGCGGAACAGCAAGAAGCGAGGCAGACGTAGAAGAGAAAGGATAAGAGCCCCAGTTTTTCAGGATTGGCCCAGTTTTTTTCCCTTTTGTTGGCGCTACTCTGCTCAGTGGATTGCATTGCACTGCGCCTTGTGCTTCTTTTGGCCTTCTTTTTCCCGCCTTTTGCCACGTGCAAGGTTTTTTCTTTCCTTTTTTTTGTTTTCTCTTCGCTTTGTCTGGGAAATATTAGAAACTTGTAAGCGAAAGATGTTGTTTGATTCTTCGTAACAAGCAAAAGCTTATCTGGCGAGGTTTTGTCGTGTACAAATGACTTTGTTCATTCTTGCTCGGCTTTGATTTCCCTAGGACCCGGACTATCAGATCGATCCGTTGCCCGCGTCGACTTCATCGAAAGCAATCCCATCCGGTTTGCATGCCGGCAGAGATGTTCCTCGACCACCACGGCAATCGTGTTCAGGTACGCAGCCGTTCTTTGCGGGGGTTGCCTCTTGGCGTGATTGCGTGGTTTTTACTTTCTTCTCCCTCCTCTCGGTACAGTTACTGTGATTTCTAAGGAATGCATCTCCTGGCGAGAGTGGTTAGGTGGAATTCATTTCGGCACCTCTCAAGTGCACGTCTGTCGTGTCTTCTTCTGAAAAGTGACCCTCTGCGCGAATTAAGGGTAGGTTCTGGTGTCCGCCTCGCTTGCGATTGGAATCCCTACCCTTCTGCCCACATGGCTCGTCCCCCGGGTTCTAGTGAGAACCCCTCTACCGGCGGAAAGCTGCGCGCGCCCTCGTCCTGCAGGCACTGCATTTTGGTCATGTACGTGCCTCCTCTGCGCGGTTTGATGCGCCCCCTTTCCTGCCATCCAAACGAGGATAGATCGCAAGGAGTGAACAATTAGTGTCATTGCGTCCTCCTGTTCTCGCCCGTCTGCCTGCTCCCGCTGCCTGTTCTTTCGTCTGCCTCCCAGTGACCGTAGTGAAGGCGGTTTGTAATACTGATACAGATTGGCGGATGGTCATGGTGCTCTTACGATGGCGATCGGATTCCGAGAATTGTGAAGGATGGAGGGAGAAAACGAGGTAATGCGGACTGGCAAGAGGTGAGAGGCATGAGAGGGGGCGGTTTGCTCTGATTCTTCCTGCATTGACCGTGATGAAGCCGATTTCTGTAAGAGATTGATCGCCGAATGGCGTAGAGGATTCTCTCTTCATACTGCGCTTATTCGTTGTGTTGCCCATTCGAAGATCATTAAGGACAGACGATGGGCAGGACGAGGTATGCGGAGCAGATAGAAGGTGCCAAAACGTGAGAGACTTGATCTGGCTGGTTTGATGTGCCTGCTCTCCGCTATCCAACAGAGGGCGGGCGGATTGCAAGATGAATAGACGGTTAGTGTCATTGCCTACTTGCAGGCCTCGTTCCTCCTCTCCGTCGGTTCGTTTCTCTCCCGTTGACTTGAGCGTAGTGAAGACGATTTTTGTCGTAAGATTATTCGACAGTTGTCATCGTAATACGATTTTTGTCGTAAGATTATTCGACAGTTGTCATCGTACTGAGCTTATTCATGGTGCGGCATTTGGAAGATGGTGAAGACATAGAAGACGGATGGGGGGAAGGGAGGGGTTGATGGGAACCCTTCCTGCTGTCCGACAGTGGGCCGATCGCATCACTAGTTGGCGATTTCGCTCAGTGCCGCGCTCCCGACCTCGTTCTTTTCGCTCGTTTATCTGTCTTTTTCTGTCTGTAGAGGGGTTTCTTGTCATGCGCAAGATGAGGGGACGATCGGAGTCATCCCCTGACTCCCATTTTCGTTCCTCTCCTCCTGTTCATCTGTTCTTTCGTCTACGTGGATGGTTGTCTCGTAATGGTGCTCTATATGGTCCTGAACTTCTAAGATCGTGAAGAATAGAACGAGGAATTTTGGATTGCGAGGTTAGGGTTGCCAAAAAACGAGAGACCTTGGGAGGGGAGGAGCTGGATTCACCGGGCTCCTCCTCCTTCCTGCTGTCCGGCAGATCCCGGATCGCAAGGTGAGTGGAGGATTAGTATCATTGCCGCACTCCCGCCTCTTCTCCTCCCTCTCGTCTGTTCTTTCGTCTGTGCCCCCTCTTCTCCTCCCTCTCGTCTGTTCTTTCGTCTGTGCCCCCTCTTCTCCTCCCTCTCGTCTGTTCTTTCGTCTGTGCCCCCCTGTCACCGTAGCGAAGGGGCTATATAATCTCATAGAAGATCGGCGAAGAATGCAGAGTTCTTCCCTTTGCGGTGCATTTAGACATGGTATCCACATCCCTAGAATCGTGAAGGGTAGGAGAAGGATGGAATGAGCTATACGGATATGCGCAGCTGACGATGCTAGAACGATAGAGATGTGAGGTGGCGAGTTTAGCGTTAGTCCTCCCTGATAACCAACAGAGGACGGGTCGCAAGATGAGTGGACGATTACTGTCGTTGCCTCCCCTCCGTGCTTGTTCCTTTTTCTCCCCTGTCCTCTGTCGACTCCAGTGAGGCGGACAAGATAGATCGGGGAATGATGAAGCGGGTTTTCTCGTGACTGTGCGCTTATGCATGGTGTTTCCATTTCGAAGATTGTGAAGGATATAACACTGGAATTGGACCCGTCTTTTTTTATTTTTTCTTCTTGTTTTATTAATTAAAAAGGGAATTGGATGCGTATTGCTCTTCCCTTTTGCGAATCTTTCTCATTTCTGGAAATTGATTAGACGAGTTTTCGTTACGCTGTCTTCTGCGCTTCCAATTGCTGAAAAATTTTAACTTCCTATTGCCACTGGAATTTCCCACTCCTAGTTGATGCTGGAATTTCTCGTGTTGCTAAAACTCTTTTGTCGTACGTGAGGCGGGGGGAAGGGGTGAGGAGTGTAGGGGAAATGATAATCGGGAACGGGCGGGCCCAACATGGGTAGATAAAGTTGGGGTAGAGATGGTCGAAGGGAGCATGGTGCATTATCGATGGAATATAGAAAGGCCACCGGTTATGGATCTCTCCGGCGCTTTAGCGTTCTCGATAGGTTCTCTTCGATGCGCCACCTGCGCTAGCGTTTCATGATTTCGTTCGCTGCTTGATGCGATTTCCCGAAATAGTACTACGCAGGCTGTGCTTCTATGCTATTTCTGTATTTGATTGGTCTGAATTTTCTTTTTTCATCTGGCGTCTGTGCAGGTGCGGCATGTCTTTGAGTGCATCGGCGTAAGGCGGTTGGGCCCGCTATCACTGTCCTTGTTCTTCCTGCTTTTCGTTTCTTGTTCTTCATGCTTTTCGTCTTCCGTCCTTCCTTTTCCTCTTTCCATCCTCCGTCGTGTCACGTGCTGCATCCGATCGTATTCGGTAAATGGCGATGCGAAGCAATCCTTTCAGAACCTGAGGTGCTATTCCGATGCGAGTGTTTGCAGTTTCGTACCTGAAGCAGCGTATCGGCAGGTTCGAGGGAGGAGGTGGGGACAGAGGAGACTGGCGGCCGAGCTCGCACCAGAGATACCTACCGCTCGGTCGCCTTCTCGGCACCGGCCTCCTTCGTGTAGGCTAACTGAGTAGTGCTTGCTGCTGCTGTTGTGCGGCCTCATCACTGTTCGCTTCCCCTATGAGAGATGTGTCTCCGTCGGTAAGTGGAAGAAAGGGCGTTCTTTTGCATATCACAGTGTGAAAGGTACAGACATGCCAAGCGAGCAACGACGCCTCGTCGTCGGAGGATGTCTTGTGTAGCTGGTTGAGCTCCCGATGTCGCATGAATGTGCCGTGTGCATCGGTTGACCAGAAGGGGCATGAAAAGTGTTGCAGGGGAGCAGCTGTTGCAACGTAGACATCAAACTCGGATGTGTTTTTTTTTTCGGTGAATGTGGGTGGTGAGGGAGCAGCAGATCATTTCCTTCCATTTAGAGCAGGATGGCGTTAATTGAATGTAGTAGATGTTCCCTGAGGATAATGTTTTATGTGGTGGTGTTTGTATTCTCTTGGTTGTGCTGTTATGGCACAGATGAGTCTGTGGGCAATTGGCCCTCTAACACTCGTACGACCTTGCATTGTTTTTATTTTCCCTGCATTATACACAACGGGACGCAGGCGCGCGTACAAACACGTGTGGTTTTGGTTGTATAAATGTATTTGAGTTTACCGTTTCATTTGTTTGTCCCCTTAGCCGGTTGCTTCTGGGATTTGCTGCGGGTGCATGATGCTGTTTGTTGACCTGCTGCATCTATAAACAGGCGTTGAGAATGCTTAGTGCAGGTGGAACTCCTGTGGGCTGTAGGGTTCACAACCCATGGTTTTGGGAGGGGAGGCCAGCGGTCTTTCAGTAGGCCCCTCGGGACACATGGGCGTTGTATGCATATAGGGGATGCAGGCCTGCGTTTTATTCCCCTTCGTAGTTGGATGAAAAACCGTGGGTATGTTCGTTCCTCTTTCCTGGACCGCACGGTGAAGTGGGATAGTGGTCGTCAGGCCTTGCGGTGGTAGAGATGGCGATGCCGTACCCTTTTGCTTTTAGGGTAGTGGCAGACTGCCCTTCTGTGCGAAGGTGTCTGATGATCCGTATTTATTATTTGCGGAGCAAGTGGTCTTCATGTTGACGAATTGTGGCCCATCCTCTGCTCATTGACACACGCGTTGGATCCTTGCGTTTCTGACTGCTGTACGGAGATCGATGGTTGGGGACCACAGGTCACAAACACAAACACGTGTGCTTCTGTTGCCGCAGACCAGCTGATTGTGTCAACTGCCTCCCCTCAGTCCTCTTCCTTGGGTTTTCGTCATTGCTAATCGCATTCCTTCGGTCCTTCTGGTGGGTAGCGCTCGTGAATGTTCCGAAGCGACTTTAGGCATGCCTAGTAGTGCATCTCAAGTATGCCGCCTACATTGTGATGGCGTCCCTATAACTTAAATGGCTCGTGTACCCGGCAAACACAGGGCGCCTGCGCCACATGCTGCTGTTCTTGCTTCCTTTGCCGTTGCCTACGTAAGCACCCGTTCTTCCTGCTGCCGGTAACATACCACAAACAAGACTCGGCCCCCGCCGTCTGCCGACCTGCCTTCAGCCCCAGTGCAGAGAGAGGGACTGGAGATCAGCCTTTGCCGTTGAGGATGATCAGCCTCCTCCTGTTTGACTGCTGGGGTAGTGGGAGTGTGGACCGGCGTCTGCTTCGCAGGATGATCGGTTAAACAATTTCTCTCTCAGAGGGCAGGGTGAAGCTGTGAGTGTTGGGTACCCAACCCGTCAATGTAAAAGAGCCACCGGAGTTGCGACTATTCTGCCATTAATCCATGCCTTATGTCACGAGGCAGCTGCATTTGTGTAACAAGACCTTGTTTGGGAGATTGATGTTGCTCCGAGTGCCAATGTTGATGCTCTTTTCTTGCCTTCCGGGTGGGGTGTATCGTGCTTCGACTTGCTGCTGAGGGGCAGTTAAGGCTACAATTTTTAGTAGGCATGCCTGATCATCTGGGTTCGCTTCATCGGCAGCCTTGTCCAGGGGACACAGAACACCATCCCATGTCACGGGAGAACAAAAACTTGTCGAGCAATTCTGTTCGCTTATCTCCCTGTTGTTTTCTGAGCAATTTGTCTGAATCAGGCTGCAGAGTCGAGTGCTTTTGCAAAAAGTCGCAGGATTTTCTGGCCACGTTGCAGTTTCCTTGGTAATGAATAATTTGCGTCCAAACGCTGTCCAGTTACAAACGGTTTTTGGCAACCATGCTGCGGCTTACGTATTGTGTGTGGATGGTACTAAAAGTGGGTGCAAAAGGCCAAAACGACGAATTGATAGAAATATGACGACATGACGTACCTCTTGTAGAGGACATTGACTGCAGTGTGGTCTGAAAAGCATCAACCAAGACGTATATTGCCAAAGGCCAACCATATGCAGATCAGTTACTCGTGTAGTAGTATGTGAATGTCCTTATGAACATAGTTGTGATTCAGGGCATCCTCGTATTTAGCGTGGGGATGTTTTTATGTTGTTTATCCACCACAAAGGGTGGGATTGCGGTTCCATAACACTCACCCGCCGATGGTTTCAGATGGCACTGACAGGCCAAGTGTTGCTTAGGTGTCCGTGATGCAAACTCACATGGGGAGATGTAAAGATGGAATGGGGAATGGTTGTCAAAAATTTTGCTCACCGTGATGCGAATCTTGTTCTCGCGTTTCTGCAGGCCGAAATGCAACTTCCCTGTTACCAATGATTCGGATTGGGTGGCGGCGAACCACCTAGTTCGTATATGGACATGCGTGTGCGTGGAGACATCAGCACAAAATTGATAAGCAGTTGTCCATGCTTGTCTTGTTGACATTGTTGATAATGAAGTTACGAGTGTCTACGAAGTGAGAGCATGGAGGGTATGGTGTGTGGTGGTGCTTTGAGGGAACAGGTGCCCGACGGTGGGCAGTGCTTCCAAACATGATATCACTTCATGTGCGACTGGTGGAGGGCGTGTTCACCGAAGACAGACATTGGGAAATGAAGCATGAGAGCTGTGCAGAGCTGCTGTGACAAGCTTCATTCAAGGCCGTCAGACAAAGGCAGTGAAGACCTCGGTGTCTCAGGCGTATGTTCTTTTGTATGGTACACATTTATATGTATGTATGTATATCTTTATATATGTGTATGTGTATATGCGTATTCTTGTATGTAGGGAAGGAGAGACAGAGGAGCCTTTTGTCCGAGGGCATATCATTAAGTAATGCCTGCTCGGTAAGGATAAGTAGTGCTTAAATAAGCCCAAGGAGGAAGGAGGAGACGTGTGGTGCATTGCTGTCCACGCTCTAGCGGATATCAATTCATCATGGGTGGCATGGAACGTGGCTGGAATGCCCGAGAGATGAAGGGGCGGGAAGCAATTGTTGGGGGTCCCTCTGAGGGTAGAGCGGTGACGGGAAAGTCTGCCAAGGAAGAGAGGGCGACCTTCTCCTCGGACAGGCAGGAATTACACACTAAGAAGGAACAATTTAAGGAGAGGCGTCGAGCACGAAGCCTGAGTGGGGGAACAGTGCAAGTCAGTGGATCCACTTGGGGTGTTGATGAGGAAGACAAGCGATCTAGCAGAGGCTCCGCTCCAGTTTGCAGCTCCGGACTGGAAGACGACAAACCGTCTCCGTCCTCTAAGTATGGAGAGGAAGTGACATCCTCAATCACTGGGGGAAGGACGTCTTCTCCCCCTTGTCATTCTGGCTCGGCTCTTCTCAAAGGGAGCTTGACAACAGTAACATCCTCAAATGGCAAGGCCTCACATATTGATCGATGCTTTTTCGATACGAAGAGCGTTACCTCCGAAAGCAAGAGTCCACCGGAATCATCAAGATCAAAGTAAGTGGCCCCCCTCGTTAATGACCGGGCTGTCAGGAGAGAGGGAGGGGAAAGAGGAAAAGAGAAAGAGGGATAGAGAGGAGGGGGGAGAGAGTGGGAGAGCTAGACTGAGAGAGGTAGAGAGATCAGCCGCTGCCTCCCCCCTTCTCCCCTCCTGCCTTTCCCAGCTCCCATGCGGCCCTCCGTTGCCCACCAAGCCCCTCATGCCCTGCCTTCTGTTTTTTGTCCTTGCCTCCTGCCATCGCCATTCGGACGTTGAAGAGAGAGAGAGAGAGAGAGAGAGAGAGAGAGAGAGAGAGAGAGAGAGAGCTACCACCCTCCCTCACCTCTTCTGCCCTCCTTACCCATGTGCCTGTTCTTCCCACCCTAGGATGGGTGCCTCCATTTACTCTCCCTGCTTCCTTTTCTGTTTTTCTTCCTCCCATGCCTAAGTTCCCCATGTCTGTTCTCCCCACCCTCCGGCGACTGCCTCCATCTTACTTTCCCAGCCTCCTTTTCTGTTTTTGTTTTGCCCTTCCACTGTCACGACATGAGAGAGAGAGAGAGAGAGAGAGAGAGAGAGAGAGAGAGAGAGAGAGAGAGAGAGAGAGCTGCTACCCTCCCCCATCTACTCTGCCCTCCGTCCCCATGTGCTTGTTCTTCCCACCCTACGATGGGTGCCTCTATCTCACTCTCCCTGCCTCCTTTTCTGTTTTTCTTCGTCCCATCTCCTTTCCCCAGCTTCCCCATGCTGTGCCTGTTCTCCCTACCCTCTGGCGACTGCCTCCATCTTACTTCAATTGCCTTTTGCCTTCCTCTGTCGTGGCTTGAACGTGTGCGCACACTCTTGCGAGAGAGAGAGAGAGAGATAGAGAGATAGAGAGAGAGAGAGAGAGAGGCATCATCCATCATATTTTTGTTTTGCGGTTGACCCCTTTTGGCGTCAATTTTGCATTGGGCCGAACAGATCCATCTGGCTGTACAGCTGTCCTGGGTGTCTGGCGGGATATCCTGGATACTTGGGAGGGGCCCAGATGCCCAGGCCGGTTAGAGCTTAAATTTCCTGTGTTCCCATCGTGTGCAGTGAACACAGCGAACCTGGTTAAAAATTGCAGCCTTGGTGTTTGTTTTGAAGGTATGGGAATGGACCCACTGACGTTTCGGACATTTGTTTTTGTCGCTCATTTCATGTCATGCCGGCTTGTTCGACTGCTGTGTGGGGGGCTCGTGCCTTGCTGAGGTTGAAAGCTGACAGTATTATGCACAAGTTGAGAATTGTTTCCAATTTTAGTGATCGATAAGTATTGTCTCATATCCTGAATTTTATTAACCATCTGGTCATGTCCTGTGCCTTCTTCTGTGTGGTCTACTCTTATTCGGCCTCTGTCACAAATCGTCTTGCAACAGCCCTCGATCACTGGTGCGTCCTTCAATGCCTCTTGGATTCTCCTCGACTACACCGAGATTCGCTGGTGACAAGGGAAAGGCATCAGGTCGTTCTGCTGGTGGAAAGAAGGTTTGTGCCTGGAACACCTCATCTATGTTGGTCCTGTTGTTTGTTTCTATGCCCTGTCAGATGCACTCTTTGCTTGCACGGGCTTGTCTTTGATGAACATCAGTCGAGTTTGGGAGCAATCATGAATCCTTAGTTTCATATCGTGTGCTTCCTGAATCGGAACCATTTATCCAGAGTCATGGCCTTTACAGGACCATTTATCCAGAGTCATGGCGTTTACAGTTCTGTTGGTACTGTGAGCTGTGACCTACGACTGCTATGATTCTTTAAGGAAAACAAGCAAGAGCGAAATGACAGAATTCCAAATTGCAACGTCACATAGTCGTGAGCTGTCCAGAAAGCAGGAATGCACCAATTTCGCACCAAAAGGAGACCAAAGCAAGGAACTCGATTGTCAACTCAGCCTTGTCTTGCCACCATCGACAATGTGTTCAATGTATCTTCTCCTAATTGGCGTTGAGTGCCCAGACTACGATCACACAACTCCGGTATTGGCCTAACCTTTTTTTCTTTCTTTCTTTCTTTTTGGTATTGGGCTTTGCTATTGACGATGCAACTGGAAAACTACAGCAGCAGACCCCGAACATGCAGATGTCACATATGCAGACCTCTGTGACATACGTGCCCTCTGTCCTCTGTCTTGCCCTCCTCTAGTTCACCCTCGTCTTCACCCTCACGCTCTTCCTCCAACCGAAGACGATCACCATACCCTTCCGACCTCCCTCTTGCCCAAGCCCGACTACGGAGGCAGGACAATGGCGCTGCTACCATGCAGCGCCCACCACCTGCACCCGTGCTCGCCCAACACTCGTGCGTGCGGCCTCTGAGCGCTAATACCAGCAGCGCTGCGGCATGACACACAATTGTCTGAATGCCTCACCACGAGGCAGGCACTTTCCTTTATGGATAGTGCTTGCAGCTTCTTTCTGCCTTGGCCTGTTCGTCGGAGTTCCCAGAAGTTTCACGTTGGGCCAAAGTGTCTGTGCCCAGGCCCGATTCAGACAGCGGCCTGGGTGTGAAGAAGTTAGGCCAACCTAACTATGTGTTATCACTCCAAGTGTTTGCTGCATCCTGATTGGCTCATGGCCGAAGTGTGATGTCGCGACTGGATTCTTATTGGTCTGTGGCCATTGTGCGACATGTCGGCCTCTAGGCTTCTGCTGTACACGCCCAGGGACTTCAACAAATTGCGCCATGGGCTCCATTCGGTTGCAAGGCTCAACTGCCCAACCTGGCTCCCAAATGTTTGCTGTGATCTGATTGGCCGGTTGGCCTCCTTCCACGTTGCTATCTGGACGAGCCTGGAAGGCTGACGGCCTCGGTCACACATGTAGTGCCCTGTAACCAACTGGGACCAAGTAACTGCCTGGTGTGAGGCCTAGGTTCACTAAACTCACAAACAGACCTCGTCGACGATCCAGGCCGACATATGGATTCCAACAAGCGCTATTTCAGCTCCTTTTGTCTAGTCACATTGGCCTCTATTCAGGCATGGGTGCGTATATGCAGGCTCGCCTTCACTTAGTGTGGGCAAGACCTTTTTCCAGCACTGTGGAGGGACTAGAATCCTCGCAATTGGCGAGAGGGACACAACAGAGAGAGATCCCAGTGGGATGGTATCTTCGGGTCACTACCTTCTCTTAAGCCACCAGTACTTGGGCCAGCTATTGATGACGAGCCTCAAAACGCCCTCTGCGCCAGGTTTTGCCGAACCTCCATCGGGACAATTTTCTATTTTCTTTTTTGGCTGGTGCCTCCAGCCATTGTGGTCCGGTAGTCCCGAAGCCGTAAGACACGGCATGTTAACGAGGCAGGCCCATGGCAGATGTGTGGGCCAAGTACTGGTGGTTTAATGGAAGCTCGCCTTTCCTCTTTCGCTGTCCTTTGTGTCCTGTGATGCTGTCGTCTCGTGAAGTGTGGAGATCATTGGTTCTCCCGTCACTGTATTACTAATGTTTTTTTGAATGTCAATCTCCATTGTAATGGCGGGGATGTTGCCAAACTGGTTGGATCTCTGCTATTTCATATTGTGCACGTGCCGTTGTTGTTGATGCCAGCAGCAACTGCTCATCAGCTCCGCATCAGAATCGAATGCAGAATTGATGACCTCACAATGTTCGTCAATTCTGCAACGAATCCTCTTGGTTGTGCCTTCTTCCACTCATCAAGATGGTGAATGGATTGATTATAATTGGTGAACGACGTATGGTGACTGGTTTCATTGCTTGTTTTTCCCGCCTCTGTTTCTCTGTGCTTACCCCCATTATCGAGTATGAATTTAATTAATACGTCAACATGTTACACATTATCAGCCTCTGATGGGCCCAACATGTTACAGACATTGTCAGCCTTTTTGCAATCTTCATCATGTTCCTCGGAAAACTATTGGGAGAGAGGAAGGGAGGGAGGGAGAGAGAGAGAGAGAGAGAGAGAGAGAGAGAGAGAGAGAGAGATCTTAATATCTAGTAACTTTCTAGTTTATATTTCCATGTGTGCGACTTGACTGGTTGGTGTATTCACATGAATGGCAGCGAGAGGATTTTGTTCTTGGAGCTGCGAGGACACAATCCTTTTTATTATGTCCACAGCATAGGCAGTGATATTGACGAGTTGCTGGTTGCATATTTTGGCTACAGGCCCGTACTCTGGAGGACTTGCAGCGGGAACTGGCAATTGCCGAGAGTGAGATAGTGGAGTTGAGGTTGAGGCGGAAGGAGTGTAAATTCATTGTACAGGGAGCAGAGGAGCGTCAGAAGGAGGCTGAGAAGCAGGCACAGAAGTTACGACAAGAGGTAGAAATGTTGAAGGCAAGGGAGAATGTGTTCATGGCGAGGGTTGACCGCTTGGAGAACGAAACAAAGCATGCCAAGGAAGAGGTGGCGATGCTGGAAGCCTCTGTGGCTGTGTCCAATGCTCAGAACACAGAGCGAGTGAGAGCTGTTGAGAATGAATGGAGGGAAGAGGTTGTGTTCCGCGACAGGAGGATAAAGGAATTGGAGGACAAGGTTCGGGAGAAAGAGGTTGAGATTGAGAGCTGGATCAGGGAAGTTGAAGAACGAGACCGGAGGGTCAAGGATAAAGAGGAGGACATACGGAGCCTGAAGGTGAAAATCGCAACAGCAGAAGGTGAAGTAAGCCGAGGCAGGGAAAAGTACCGAGAGATTCAGAAAGAGATCGAGAGAGGCGCACAGCGATGGCAGGAGCTTTTGTCGAGTAAGGATGAGGAGGTTCTGGCATTGATGAGGGAGAAAGCGAGGTGGAGAGAGGATTTGCAGGCCATGGAGAGACAAGTAGAAGCTGGAGAGCAGAAAGTGCAAGATGTGCAGGGGGAGTTGCTGAGGGTGGGAGGAGAGGTTGCTAGAGTGGAGATGGAAAAGTCTGAGTTATTGGGAAGGCTAGACGAGCGGACACGGGAGCTTGGTCTTGCACGTGAAGAATGTGGGAGGCTAAGAAGGGACGCAGAAGACCTTAAGATGCTGCTTGCTGATAAAGGTGCTGAAACACAGTGTGTGGAGAACGAGGTTCAAAGAATTCGACGAGAATGTGAGCGGTTGCTGGCAGAGATAGAGGTGAAGAAAGTGCAGATGGATGAACTTCAGTGGCGTCTACACAGGGAGGAATCAAGAGCCTGTAAGATGGAGGAAGACGTTGATTCCATGCGAGTGATTGTCGAGGAAGAGAAGGAGAGAACAAAACAAGCAAAGGTTAGAGAAGCAGAGGCGCAGGAAACAGCTTCTCGTGTCATGGAAAAATTTCGAACACTAGCAGAATCGGTGGGCATGCAGGAGACGAGGATCGAGGCAACGAAGAAGCAACTGGTGGTTGAGCTAGAGGAGAAGAGAAGGATCGAGCAGAAGAACAAGCTTCTGGAGGTTATGCTGAAAGCCAGGCAAGCTCTTTCTGCTGAAGGAGGTGGTGATGTGAATGGTGCACAAGTGTATACTGATGATCTGATCTCGCAGCTGATTGAGGAGAAGGCCAAAGTGGAGGCGGCAGAACGGAAGATTCTCACCTTGGAAGCAAAACTGAGAGCTCTGGAGGAGGACCCAAAGGTGGGACACGAAGCTGGAAGAAAGACTCCAAGAGGTGATTCGGAGGTTGGGCATATGTGGGGCCAGGATTTGCGAAGAACGGCACAAACCCACCGGAGTGTTTCTATATCCCCAAAGGGAGAGGTGGGGAGGAGTTTCTCCGCACGAACAGCAAAAGTAGTGCAGGAGAGCCACCCAGAAGGAAAGAATGGGACTGAGGTCTGGACTGGAGAGGGAGGGCAGATGGTCACTCTGAGGGAAGCTCCGGTGTTCCCGGAGGTAAGCCTAAATATGTATCAAAAGGTTGTCCACTTGTCGTGACTACCAGCAGGTGGTGAGGAGTGTACATTGCAAATGAAAGAATGAAAGGCACGGGGAGATCTTTTGCATACTGCGACGATTGCCATTCTATCAGGCCATGCCATCGCAGATCCCCCTGACCACTCTCCTGTTGACAGGGATGGTGCACTTACCGTGGACCACGTGGAGGTGGGTTGAGGGTCCGTGCCTGCCACCTGAAACTGCCCCCCTTACACACTTGGGAGACAAACACACTAACACACACAGAAAGACACACAGAAAACAAAGAGAGAGAGAGAGAGAGAGAGAGAGAGAGAGAGAGAGAGAGAGAGAGAGAGAGAGAGAGAGAGAGAGAGGTGAAACAGCCGGCTTTCCTCTCTTCTATGGCCTCATATTCCTTGCTCATGCAGATAGGAATCTTTTGGTTGTGCCTACTGAGAGGGATGGTTCTCTGTGTGTCCTGGAAATCGACCCACAACATATATCTGGCTCCGTGTATCACGGGTTCTTATCAGGATGAATCCCTCCAGTCTTGGACAGCAACAAATGACAAGGGCTTTGGAACGATCTGCAGCGTGAAGTTGAATGCCAGAGAGGAGATATCTTCAGAAGTGTGGGTGAGAGGGCATGCCAAGACTTAACCTTCGGTCCTGATCGGGACAAATGTGCTGAAACTTGAATCCACTTTTCTGCATGCTGCATTTGAGTTGCACCAATTGTCATACATCGACCATGCTAGTCTACTTATTAAAGGGACTACCAAGCGCAACATCCCAAACAAATTTGGCTCCGTTGGGTGTTTTGAACAGGTGATGTACGTCTTATTGGTTGGTCGATCACACGGCCAGCCTTACAAATTCCCTGATTAAATTCATCAATTGTGTCTGTGCATATTATGTAGGAAATTGGTCCTTTTTAAATGTTGGATGACGAGGCAATGCTATTGGATTTTCGGGAGTGCCACAGGAAGTGGACAGGGGAAAAGGGTGAAGTATCATCGTGTTGATGTAACATAATAATCGGTGTCATGTTTACCGAAATGGCGGTTCGTACTGTAGTTCATTCATATGTTGCATTCTGACAGGGACCTGGATATTATGATAGACGGTTAGTCCATGGGTCAGAAGACCAGGAAGATTTTATTGCTTTTCCCCAAGATGGCAGGTCAGTGATGCTGGGGAACGTGCTGCAATCTACATCTGGCAGCTCGTATCAATCGATCAAGGGGACATCTGGATCTGGTTAAGCACTCTATTGTGATGCAGTCGACTCTAATTTGTGGAGGTTTGTTCCCCCTCACGTGCACATCCCTTGCAAAGGATTGGGGGCATTTATCGGAAGTCTGGCAGAGCCCCGAGATCCAGTTTTCGAATCAGAATACCAGATTCGGAGGTCCTCGCTGGAGTGGAGCACATGGATTGTCGAAGCAGCCTCTAGGTGGAATTTTGTGACAGCCACTGTTGATCGAAATGGTGAGGGTTGGTGAGTTGGTTGTCTACCCTGTGTCCAAAATACAATGACAGTGATTAAGTGCTCTTCCGTACATTATTTGGTTTCTGAAGCGAACCATGATAAAGTGAGTTCAATGCCAAGGCCTAGCCGCTGGATACTATGAAAGGTGGAAGCTCATAGTTGTCAGCGGGGTTAGACTGTTACACCTGTCGGAGTCAGTTTTTGGTCCGGCTAATGGAATATTGAACCACGTGTTATGAAAAGGTGATCAGCTGTTAGAGGGTTTTAGACTGTGACCTGTCAGAGTGAGTTTCTGGTCTCTGTCTAGGGTGTCAATTTGAAGTGTTGTATGTAGGGTTGCTATTGTAACAGACTCAAGTGACCGTCTGCTCTCTGCAGAAGGCAATAATGTTTACCTTTAGGAATGGACGGGGCGGCCTCGTATATATGGGGAACACAGGTAGGGTAGTGGAGGTGTTTAGCCTGATCCAGCGACGGCAATTGGATATGCTTACATTTGTGAGAAAAGAATAAAAGGCCCACTACGTGATGAGAACTTTGCCAACGTATTTTAAGCCTTGTATGGTCCACCCAGGTCTGTCATTTGACCTGTGATGTGTTTTTGTGTAATAGGGTATTTGGATTTCCAGGTTCTACCGAGAGCATGGGAGGCCAGGGTTGTCCAGGAGAGCTCAGAAGTGGATCTAACACGTTACTCCAAAATGGGAGAGAGCCCTATTTGGTTGGGGCAACACACAGTCCAATTCACTGGCAATCCCCTTCGGTGACATTGGGATTCTGCACGCAGTTGGACTTCAATAAAGATCAGTCATGGAACTGTCTTGTCGATGTTGGAAGTGTCTGTTCCTCCCGTTGATCTGGGGGCTCGGGGTCTGTTGGTCTCTTCGCATTGTTGCACTCTGAATTTTGTGCGTGGCTGTGCTAGGCTCGTGGAAATCCGTCGCACCTCTGTTGAGAGTAGAATGGTAAAAAGAGAAGGGTGTGAAATCTCTTTCCCAAACCCTAATTCCTTTGACATGGTCCCTTGCTGCAAGCCCGCATTTTTTTTCCATTTAGAGGTGAGAGAGTGTATCTGTCATGTCCACTTGCTACAGCAGTGTGATGTACAGGTTCTTTATCCTCTACAAGTGATCCCCTTCTGCTTAGTATACTCTACTGGGGTGCGGGACTCGTGCCCCTTTAGCCACCACCAGTACTTTCAGACCTCTTGTTCCGGAAGCGGATTTGGGCTGTGTGCTGAAAACAAATGAAGTGGCACGGACGCTTTTTTTCTACACTTTTTTTTGCATGCGACACCAGTCACTTGGGTCTGGCAGGCGGGGCCCCAAAGGACAAAGCACTTTAACGGCCAGGTTGGAAAATAACGGCGGTTTAATGTAACAAGTCGGCCCGCAGCAGGCTACGCCTGCAGCACACGTCTTCGTGGCCTGTCTTTTGCCAGGTCCTTTTGCCAGGTCTCACAAAGCAGAGAGCAAGTGTAATGCCTCTCTCTCTCTCTCTCTCTCTCTCTCTCTCTCTCTCTCTCTCTCTCTCTCTCTCTCTCTCTCTCTCTCTCTCTCTCTCTCTCTGTGCGGCGGCCCTTCTGCATGTCCTGGCCCATCG